AACCGGAGTCATTAGAAAAGTTCAGGGGGAAAAAAACATTTCATTGTGATTTCTAAACACTGAAGTCATTTTTTTATTTATTTTGTCAGATAAAAAAAAAAAATATTTACAGATATTATTTTACACAAATTTATGTTTTTTACATAATAAATGGGTCTTTGTGCATATAGCTACCTTTATATTTTAGGAATCATAATTAGGTTTAAAAAAAGAATTGTGACAGAATTATGATTTTGAGAAGCACTTGGCTCTTGATGTTTTGCCTATCTGCCTATTTAGGAGTTACTTGCTGAGGAGACCCATCAAAAAATGAATTTTTCCACTCGGCTACGTCAAATGGAGGATGAACGAAACAGTCTGCTAGAACAAATAGAAGAAGAGGCAGAAGCCCGAAGGAACGTGGAGAGACAGGCCTCCAGCCTTACCACACAGGCCAGTCACTCGCATTTGCAAAGAACACCCTCAAAAATGTCATTAAGCATCTCAGTATATGACAATAAGTTGTGCCAAAATAAAAAAACAAATGAACAAATGAGGCAAATTTCATTTACAATAAGTTTGCTTCTACTATAGTTGTCAGATGCAAAGAAGAGGCTGGATGAATACTCCAGCAATTTCCAAATGCTTGAAGAAAGCAAGAGACGGCTACAAAGGGATCTGGAAGCCACAACTGGAGAGTTTGAGGAGAAAGCTGCAGCCTATGACAAGCTAGAAAAGACCAAGAATCATCTTCAGCAAGAGTTGGAGGATGTGCTGATGGACCTGGACAACCAGAGACAACTGGTTTCAAATCTGGAGAAGAAACAACGGAAATTTGACCAGGTTGCATTTCTATGCTAATTTCAGCTATCCTAATTTCATCAGCACAATTACTGCTACTAAGTGATTTTTTATCTCATTAAGATGTTTGCTGATGAGAAGACCATCTCCAGCAAGTATGCTCAGGAGCGTGACTGCGCAGAGGCAGAGGCACGGGAGAAAGAGACCAAATGTTTGGCCCTCACCCGAGCGCTCGAAGAATCCCAGGGTTCCTTACGAGAGTTAGAGAAACTCAATAAAACACTTCGCACTGAGATGGAAGATCTGATCAGTTCAAAGGACGACGTGGGCAGAAATGTAAGTTGTGTTTTACAGTAGCATGAATGTTGGACAGTAGTTCATAGTCAACTTAGAGACAGTTCTCTGAAATTAGATTACTAAATGTTGCGTATAAAAACTACGGAAGGTCCATGAGCTGGAGAAGGCAAAACGTGGATTGGAGGCTCGAGTGGAAGAGATGACAGTTCAAATGGAGGAACTTGAGGATGAATTACAGACTGCAGAGGATGCTAAACTCCATTTGGAAGTCAATATGCAGGCCCTCAAAGTCCAGTATCAAAGAGACCTGCAGGTCAGAGAGGAGCAAAATGAAGAGAAGAGGAAACAACTGCTGAAACAGGTGAAGATTGATTTATTTGATTTTATTTTTGTTGCTCAATGGGTAAGCAATATCTGATTTTGTAGGTCTTCCTGAACTGCATGACATTTCTTGTAGACTCCTTACCCTCCTCCAGTCAGCAATTGGGGGAAAAAAGTTCTGTTGTAATATTTTCCCACTTGGCACACAGGTACGTGAGCTTGAGACTGTGCTAGAAGATGAGCAGAAAATGAGAACTTCATTGGCAGCTGCCAAGAAGAAACTTGAGGGGGATTTGCAGGACCTTGAAGACCAAATTGATGCAATCAGTAGGGCGAGAGATGAGGCCATTAAACAGCTCCGCAAGACTCAGGTCAGAGGGTTAAACCTTCAAATTATTTTGGCATTTCCCAAGCCTTTATCAAACTTCATCTATGTTAGTTTTCTTTTTTTACATGACAGACACAGATGAAAGATTCCCAGAGGGAGCTGGAAGATGCGAGAGCATCCCACAAGGAGGTTCTTTCCGAAGCTAGAGAATCTGAGAGAAAGGCCAGAGCCATGGAGGCAGAAATCTTACACCTACAGGAGGTATACATGATACCAAATGGCTGATTGCAATAGGCTTAAATATCTTGCCATACAATTGTCAATTTCTTCGTAGGAACTGGCTACAGCAGAGAGAGCCCGCAAACAGGCTGAGCGAGAGAGAGATGAGATAGCAGGGGAGATGGCAAGTGGCTCATTTGGAAAGTATGTTGGGAATTGATATTTGCAAAGATATTTGGAAAAATACAATTACTTTGAAAAATACTTTGAATTTTAAAACTGTAAAATACAATATGCAATGACTGTCCACTGATAGATCTGGCATGTCAGATGAGAGGCGTCGTCTGGAAGCCAAAATTCAACAGCTGGAAGAGGAACTTGATGAGGAGCAGGCAAACATGGAGACGCTCAATGAGAGACTGCGGAGAAGTGTGCAGGAGGTGATTGGGTTAATGTGCCATTCATCTACTTGTAGGCTGTAGCGAAGGTGTTCTTTCGAGGTGATGATAACGCAGATCATTTTCATTTATAACTAGGTGGATCAGCTGACCAGCGAGCTGCATGTTGAGCGCTCCAATGCTCAGAGGATGGAGAGTGGCTGGCAGCAAATGGAGAGGCAAAACAAAGAACTGAGGGCCAAGCTGCTGGAGATGGAGGGACAGGTCAAGTCCAAGCAACGGGCCTCTGTAGCTGCATTAGAGACCAAGTTACAACAAATGGAGGACCAAGTGGACCATGAGAGCAGGTAAGATCATCAGTGTTAAGATGGATTTGGCTGTAAAGACAAAGGGATTCCAACTAGTCGGTTTTTTTTTTTGTAACAGAGAGAGACAAGCTATTGCCAAGGCCATGCGTCAGAAAGACAAGAAGCTAAAGGAACTGATGATTCAGATAGAGGATGAACGAAAACAGACAGAGCAATTTAAGGACCAGGTGTGAAGTATTCTTGTTCAGCATTTGAGTTTTTGAGGTTCCATATTTTCTCATAACTTTGACATCTGACTAATGTCATCCTTGTTGTAGGCTGAAAAAGCAAATCTGCGATCAAGGCAGCTTAAGTTGCAGGTGGAAGAAAGCGACGAGGAGTCTCAGCGTGCCACTGCTGCCCGTCGTAAACTTCAAAAAGAGCTGAACGAGGCCACCGAGGCCAATGACGCCCTGATCCGAGAAGTGTCTTCACTCAGGAGCAAACTCAGGTTGTTCTGCAGTAACCCCTTTCTGTAATGTATGTGAAACCAGAATCCCATTCATTGACATCCTCCTTATTGCATTCTACAGTAACATACATTGAGACATAAGTTTGCATGTGGTACGTTTGTAGATGTGTGGTTTATTAATTCATTGCATGTTCCTCAGGCGTGGTAGTGACTCATCTTTCAGCAGTCCATTAAGGCGTAGTGGAGGTGGCAGCTTTAGAAGAACACGCAGGAGCATGATGGAAACATCTGAGGTCCCAAAAGATGAAGGTCCTGCTACTCCTGTGCAGGAGGATCCTCAAATCGAGCCAATCAATGGCCCCAAGGATGACAACTAAAGAATTAATTCCCAAAGCCTTTCACTATCTGTCTTTGCCATTTCTGAATAATTTATGCTTATTTAATCTTGACTATCTCCTAAAACGAGGTTTGGTATTTACTTCTGTTTTTCACTGATTCCAACAGCTGACTAATTCTAATGGGGTTTTTACACTCAGAAAGTACCAAGGTACCATGTTTATGTAGTAATACCATGTTAAGTGAATACCATGTTATCAACTGTTAAGTGACATAGTATATATACAAGTACTACAAAGTGATACAAAAGTTATACCACACTGTATATGGTATATATTGTTATGTATTAAGGGCGTAATTCACCACTTTCAAGTTGAGGCTTTAAAAAAACTTGGCTGTCAAGGGAGTAGAAATTGAGGGTACATAACTAGAGAAACCAGAGAAAACCCCTGTGGCATTCCCTTTTGCCAAAAACCTAAACACCCATAATTAATTTTTTAATCCACTGTCCATGGGCAGGATCACAAAAATTATGAAGTTCAATCTGTAGTTTTAACAAAATCACTGGAACTGTCTGAAGTCTGCCAGATGATGCAAAATGACAACTACAACTACAACTACAGATCAAACTTCCGCATTCCTGCTGACAAATTAACTGGGATATCTGGGTGCATGTAACATGGAGAAAGTGTACACATAATTCATTTACATATAATACCGACACAGTAACAATGCAAAGCTGGATGGAAATCGGCAAACTTATCCTTTAAAGAGATGTTTTGAAAAAAAAATTATGTTTGTCAAAGTTTTCTTTATTCAAAGTGTATAAGGCGCTTTTGTTGACCTAAATTGTATTTTCTGCTTCTACATAGACCAATAGCTGTGCCTTGCATGTGATACAACCATAACCAAGAGTTCTATCATTCCTCTAACAATACTATTTCTAGGGGGAAATAAAAATCAAATAATCAGTCCTGTTAACTACACATTTATTTTGAAGGTTATGGATTAACCAACAATGAAATGGTTTTACAGACAGGATAAACTTAAGCATTGCCTTTGCTGAGGAATGCATGGACATTGCAGATGTTTAGGTTCATTAATAACAAAGAAAACCCATGATGACAATAATTAGCAATTGTGCATGTCTTGTGCATACAGAGACAAATGCTTGACAGAATTTGAACTGTAATGACTTCTTTAGTGAGGTTATTGCTTACATGAGGCCCTGAGGTGGTGCTAAATTTTGCAAGTGTGCTCAATTTTTCTATCAATAATCATACTCTATTTGTATAATTTTTCATTAGTACCTCTAGGCAAAAATGGATAATATAATGTATCAATTCTTCCTTACATTTCTATTTTTAACATAAAAATATCTGTACCCTTCACTGAAGTATTCATATTGCTTGTTATTTAAATCTACAACTCAAAGAGAAATGTAAAAACTAAGCGATTAAACTCCACTCAGAATTCAATTTCTCCTCTTCATGGAATCCCTGACATATCAGAGAATTAATACATTGGGAAGAATAGTGAGAGAAGCTGCAACTCCCTTCGGGCTAGTAAATTCCCCAATACCTAAATTAACTTTGAGGCAAAGCTCATAATGGCCACAAAATTAAGGCACATTAAATTCATGTTCAGCGCATGATATGCCAGCAACTACTCTCCAGTTCTGTAGCACTGTAATCTTTGAAAACAAAGATGGCACTGACTGTTCAATTGAGGAGTTCACTAGCTATTACTAGAAACAAAAAGGCCCCAGAGAGGTTCATGCATAAACATTTCGGCTACTGTTGGTTACTTACGCCAGCCCCTACAAGGCAACGAAATGAACAACAGCTTAAGCTAATAACATCTCTGCAACCTCCTTAGAATTTTCAAATCGAAACACTAAAGACATGACATTCATTTAGTAACAAACTTATATAGAATTAAAATGCTAGTTTCTAAAAAAAAATTAGATAATTTTTAAATAAAATCAGGTATTTCTGAATTAAAAATGAACCTGCTATATACCTTGCTCCAGTCCTGTGACCAACAATAAGCCAACAATGTGCAGTTGACGTTTCATTGGACATTGATCAGTAGTTTAGTGCCAAATATATTGGGACTGCAGGGGTAAATCTGCCAGGCACCTGCAACAGTCTCCCAATTTATGGTCCCAAAAAGAGCTAATAAAAATTACAGTGCAGATACATTTTAAAACTGCTATAATCACCAGATATATAAAAACAAACAAACACAAACAAAAATAAAAAACAAACACTGTGAATTTAAGAGATAGTACATCTGCAAAACACAATGCAAATCGCCAAACAAAAGAGTAAAACAACAGGTAGTAGTTTCAGCCCACAGACACAATAACAGGGTTGATATGAATGTAAAAGCAGACCCCTTCTCAGATAGTGGAAGACTTGGGGCATAAGATCCTGAAAATAAAGCATTTTCATATTAATGGTTTAGGAATACTTGTTTTCCCAATGATGTGAGAGCGAAAGACATGCTTGCACACTGGTAGCGAATAGTACTTTATTCACAACATTATCTTGGGTCCTGTTCCAAAGTCCAACCGTTTCACCATCCTGCAACACAAAACAGAGAACGTTTGGAGAAGAATTATTATGAACAAGTCAGATATGATACAATCTACATCATTTTGGTCAATTACAGAGATGCACTGAAATTAATAGTGAGACTAACCCCTTATCATACAAGCCATTTGTGTTGGATGGGATTTCTGGGGTTTCCCGTGAAATCCTCGGTGTACCCTGGCTTATCGCTGCACGGCTGGGTGTTTTCTCATGGATGTGTAACTCTCTGCATGATGCCAGCTTTGATTCAAGGTTCTGAAAAGAGAACAAAGGGACATAGAACTTGATTATCAAAACTACAGACCAACCTCAGTTGAAAGAGTGTGGATTTTTTGGCAATAGCCACAGTTACAGCTGGACTCACCCCAACTTTCCTCAACAGCTCTCCAACGATGTTAAGGGCCGATATCCTTGCAGATGTGGTGAGAGGAGTTCCAGTCAGACCTTCAACTGGACATGACAGATAAAAAATAAGTTAATAAATCAAAACTCTTAAGTGTTAGAAATCTAAAGCTGGGAAATGTTCTTTTCTTTCTCTCCTTCCTTCAAATTTGTTCTTTCTCCCCATTCTTTCCTTTACCAATCCTTCCCTTCACTTAGTTGACTCAAAATTATTGTATGCAAAATACAATGTTCTGCATGAAAGTAAATGGTTTAGTATCATTAAACTGCAATAACAATAATGCACAGTGTGCAAAAGACATGAACAGAAAACTTTGAGTCACTCCAATGGATACTGTCCTTGGGCCAGTTAGGCGGCCCTTACAGAAATGTGTGGCCATGCTGTGTTTGTGCTCACTTCTGCTGTAGGAAGCGGAGGGGGTGTTGAATGCAGTCCCTAAGCCTGGAGGTCTGGAGGGTGTGGCGTGGAGAGATGGGAGGGCGGAGGCTACAACAGACGAGGGTCTTGCGGGTGTGGCCTTTGGCTTCTCCACATCTTTAGGAAGGCTGATTGATGGCTTGCGCTCCTGTTTCTGCTGAACATCCAGTTCCTGTCTTAAATCTGCCCCGAGGAGAATGGAGACCGCAAACACAATCAGCACACAAACACCGAATCTGTTAAAACATCGGAGACTGGCAAATCAGGTGATTATTCTGCTGATTATCGACGAAAATGGAAGTTTGTCAGTTAGATACGAGGTGTATATGCAAAGAGGTTTCCCTTGAGTTTACCTCTGGCTTCGTCTTTTAATCTCTGTACTGATTCTAGAAGATTCTCTTTTTCATCAAGCTCACTCTCAAGGAAGGCATTTCTCTCTATAACATGATTCATTCTCTGCTCAAAGTCCTCAAGTGACATTATAGTCGCCCTATAAGAACATGATAGACAGGTCTTAGTAATAAATTGTTAAAGTCATAAATATCTATGACGTATGACATATATTCCTGGCAAAAGCACTAAACGCACCTCTTAGCTCTTTCCAGGTCATCGTTGGCTTGCTCTAACTCCCGGATATATTTGTGCAGGTGGTCTTTGATGGCTGTGGTCTCTGCCAGGTCTCCTTCTAGAGTCGAGATCTGCCTAATTGCCTCAGAGTGTTGCGTTTCATACTTCTCCTGTTAGCAAACAAGACAAAGGACCACACAAATAGAGGAAAAACAGACATTTGATGAGATAAAGAAAAACGCATATGAGAAACTACACTTAAACTTACACTTTCTTTAATCCTAGTATTGTACTTATGTAAAATACTAGAACTAAAGAAATACAAATATCAAACAAAATAATAAACCACTATTCAAAAGTTGGTCATAATATACATGCTCACACACCCTCACCAAAGCTGTATTTATGTAATCAAAAATACGATAAAAACAGTAACATTGTGAAATATTACGATTTAAAATAACTCTTTTATATTTTAATTTATTTTAAAATGTAATTTATTCCTGTAATGGAAAAGCTGGATTTTCAGCAGCCATTACTCCAGTCATTGCCTCAGAGTGTTGCGTTTCATACTTCTCCTGTTAGCAAACAAGACAAAGGACCACACAAATAGAGGAAAAACAGACATTTGACGAGATAAAGAAAAACGCATATGAGAAACTACACTTTCTTTAATCCTAGTATTGTACTTATGTAAAATACTAGAACTAAAGAAATACAAATATCAAACAAAATAATAAACCACTATTCAAAAGTTGGTCATAATATACATGCTCACACACCCTCACCAAAGCTGTATTTATGTAATCAAAAATACGATAAAAACAGTAACATTGTGAAATATTACGAAACAAGACAAAGGACCACACAAATAGAGGAAAAACAGACATTTGATGAGATAAAGAAAAACGCATATGAGAAACTACACTTAAACTTACACTTTCTTTAATCCTAGTATTGTACTTATGTAAAATACTAGAACTAAAGAAATACAAATATCAAACAAAATAATAAACCACTATTCAAAAGTTGGTCATAATATACATGCTCACACACCCTCACCAAAGCTGTATTTATGTAATCAAAAATACGATAAAAACAGTAACATTGTGAAATATTATTACAATTTAAAATAACTCTTTTATATTTTAATTTATTTTAAAATGTAATTTATTCCTGTAATGGAAAAGCTGGATTTTCAGCAGCCATTACTCCAGTCTTCAGACTGATGACCCAACAGAAATCATTCTAATATGCTCTTATTTTTGTGGAATCCGTGATACTATTTTTCAGGATTCTTTGATGAATAAAAAGTTCACCTTCAGACTGATGACCCAACAGAAATCATTCTAATATGCTCTTATTAATGTCGAAACAGTTTTTGCTGCATAATATTTTTGTGGAATCCGTGATACTATTTTTCAGGATTCTTTGATGAATAAAAAGTTCACAAGAAAAGCATTTATTTGAAATAAAAATATTTTGTAACATTATAAATGCCCTTGCTATTATAAATAGTCCATGCTAAATAAAAGTTTTTTTTTTTTAAACTAACAAACTACAGTGTATATAAACATTTGAAGTCACTTTTTATTGCATTCATCCGCGACAATAAAGTATGTCTTTGAATTATCAACAATTGGGGGCTTTCTCAGCAAATAAAGATACAGGCAATTAATTGTGATTAATCAGCTGGCATGCAATTAGGGTTGCGCGATATACTGGAAAAATACCGGTACAATGTATATTTCAAACGGTACAATATTATGATTTTGCTAATTTCCGGCAAACAGAGGAACAAGCTAAAACTTACGGTACATAACAATTAAGCTTAAGATAATAAAAAAAACAAGATAATTTTGTTACTTGAATACTGATATAATGTAAATGCAAACTAATAGATCTGCCACTTGTTCTATGCAATGTGTTATTTTTATAGGAAAATTTCACTTCTGGTATAATTCAATAATTGCTTAATATTTAAAATAACTCTTTTATATTTTAATTTATTTTAAAATGTAATTTATTCCTGTAATGGAAAAGCTGGATTTTCAGCAGCCATTACTCCAGTCTTCAGACTGATGACCCAACAGAAATCATTCTAATATGCTCTTATTTTTGTGGAATCCGTGATACTATTTTTCAGGATTCTTTGATGAATAAAAAGTTCACAAGAAAAGCATTTATTTGAAATAGAAATATTTTGTAACATTATAAATGCCCTTGCTATTATAAATAGTCCATGCTAAATAAAAGTATTTTTTTTAAAAACTAACTAAAACTACAGTGTATATAAACATTTGAAGTCACTTTTTATTGCATTCATCCGCGACAATAAAGTATGTCTTTGAATTATCAACAATTGGGGGCTTTCTCAGCAAATTAAGACACAGGCAATTAATTGTGATTAATCAGCTGGCATGCAATTAGGGCTGCGCGATATACCGGTACTGGAAAAATACCGGTACATTGTATATTTCACACGGTACAATATTATGATTTTGCTAATTTCCGGCAAACAGAGGAACAAGCTAAAACTTACGGTACATAACAATTAAGCTTAAGATAAAAAAAAAAACAAGATAATTTTGTTCCTTGAATACTGATATAATGTAAATGCAAACTAATAGATCTGCCACTTGTTCTATGCAATGTGTTATTTTTATAGGAAAATTTCACTTCTGGTATAATTCAATAATTGCTTAATTAAAAATGTTTTGATTGTATCACTTTTGTATCATTGAAAAGTGCTCTTTATGTTGTTGTTTACGCTTGAAAACAAGCAACATCCGTTTCATGTGACCCAGCAACACAGGGTTTCATGCAGTGTTCTTAATCTTAGTTTTTAATTCAGATATCTTTTCAGGCTGCTTATTTGTCACCTATGGTATTGATTTAGTATCAATAACGATGTATTTGATTCTGGTATTGTACCAAAGCCAAAACTGTGGTATTGAGTCATCCCTAGATGTAATTGTAGTCAACTGAAACACCTAACGCTATGAGATTATCCATTTAAATGTACCTTGACTTCGGTCTCTTTTTAAATGAATCCCACAACATGGCTTTACAGCCATGTTTTGCAACAAATGCCAAGTAAAAACATGAGTGAGCCTCCATGCCTCCAGACACTGATGCAGAAATAAGCATCAGCTGATTTCCTCATCCTGAATTGGATCTCTGTTGTTTGTCTGTGAATGTGTGATTCTGTTCTCAGTAAGCACTGAAAAAACCAGACAGAGACATTCTGGATGTACACATTCAGCCAAAGAACATTCAAATGGCTTTTATCTGTGGTTATATGCTTACAAACCAACGTCAGTTATAGATTAAATTCTTATTCAAATATTAGATAAAACCCCATTAATGTGCTTTATGAGACATCGGTGTCACAGCTATTCACAGTACAGTTATTCAGCTTACAGCCTACTATGATGTTGTTCACATATGGTTCGAGCTAATAGATCAAACTGATGTATTAGAAAAATAAGCACAACATGCATACTATTTTTTCCATGTAATATTTTGCTGAGCCATCTTTTGCAGCAATGACAGCTAAATCAGGTTTGCAAACTGTTCGGATGTGATTTGGGTATGCTTTCATTTAAATCGACCTATAGTCTTTTTTTTTTTTTTTTTTAAGAGGATGGTGACGAAATATTGTGTACTTCAGTTATCTTTAGTCAGAGGCATGTATATTGTGACTGTGCCCCTGACTGTAATGTATTTGCAATCAACTGTAGTCATCTGCATTTTTGTTTACAAAAGTATGAGCTTAACTGGTCATAATAATTGACCCTTCGTAAAAACCCACCCCCCCCTTAGTTACTGTTGCTATGTCCGACATGTCATGGCGTTCTCATGCCACACATCGTGTTCTGCTGCACTGAAAAATACATTGCAGAGCAAAGAGGAAACTGACAACACGCCAACAGACAAGACCGAGCAGGCTACTTCAGGTATGAAACAAAGTCTTAGCTTTCAAATTGTCATTTAAAAAAATTCTAACAATAAATACAGTCTTGTGGCTCTTTAATGTGTCATTACAAATCGCTGTAGCGCCTCAGTTCAAGCGCCACGTCAACCGATCATCTCTTCCTCTTTACTAGTTATAGCATGAAATAAACATGAATGAACCTATGTCCGACATGTCATGGCGTTCTCATGCCACACATCGTGTTCTGCTGCACTGAAAAATACATTGCAGAGCAAAGAGGAAACTGACAACACGCCAACAGACAAGACCGAGCAGGCTACTTCAGGTATGAAACAAAGTCTTAGCTTTCAAATTGTCATTTAAAAAAATTCTAACAATAAATACAGTCTTGTGGCTCTTTAATGTGTCATTACAAATCGCTGAAGCGCCTCAGTTCAAGCGCCACGTGAACCGATCATCTCTTCCGCTTTACTAGTTATAGCATGAAATAAACATGAATGAACATCAGAAGGTACCTTGTTTCAACCGCGGAAAGCCATCAATGCACACCATTTTTCAAGTTCAAGTCCACCAACGTTAATCTACTCTCCTGTCTGGTTTGTTTGTCGGACAAAAATGGCAGATTCTGTGTTATGATTGGTCAAATCGCCCGTCAATCAAACTCCCAGCGAAGGGTAATCTAGCACCTTAGGTCAGCATTAGGTCAATGTATCATGGGCTCTCCATGTATCAGAGAAATCTAGTACGCTGGCGAGCCACACAAGTGACTGCTCAGCCAAACACATCAAAATCTAACAGCGACTACCATAAATCAGTTTATTAACCCTGTGTCTATGATGCACCACAGTACCTTGTAATTTTCTAGTTCCATGCGGAGTCTGTTGCTGGTCGTAAGAAGCTCGCGATAACGGGCATCACACTGCTTCAGCTCTGTCTCCAGCTCTGCCTCATAGTCTCGACTCATCTGCTGAAACTCCTGCAGCTCCTCCTGCGCCTCCTCAGCCCTGAACAAGCAGTGGTTCAATACGATGACTGAATGTCGGCTGTAAAGGAAAATCTAATACTTCGATTTATCCCAAGTGTTCAGGAACAAACCCTGCAAAACTGCCTTACTTTTACTTAGATTCCTTTATGTCCCATGTAGATCAAATGTCATAATGAATGAAAAACAACACTTAAGCACCTTTGCTGGTATTTGGCAGCCTGTTCCTTCCAGTAGTCCCTCTCTTGTTCAATAGATGCAAATGTTGCAGGCTCGGGGTCACTCATTGCTGTTCAGTCAGGTTTACTGGCAAAATAATGGCCATCAATATATTACAAAACGTATTAATAAAAATTAATTGATTGCTAAAATATACAAATTATATAAAAACATACATTGTTTAGAGTAGCACATTTATCAAATCGATTGTTGATGTGGTCAGCCAAAAGCATCCATACTGATAATGCTGAAGATGATAATACCCGAGCAAAATCTGTGAATCTTACTAGACTATTCTGTTACTGAAATTGTTTCTTGAAAGGATGCTCAACTTTTTTGTAATAGTAAGGGGGAAAAGCAGAAGAGGAAGGGCGTGTCTTGTGATGCTTTTGAAAACCTAAAGATATTTTCCCTCAGGCGTACAACTCACAAGTAGGCTACAACTTTAACAGTCAGTTTTTAAGGACTGTGTGACTTATTAGACTATCTGAAGACTGCTTAAGGATTTATAACCTAAGCTAAACTAACACCAAAAGTAATTCTCTATTTTAAAAATGCAATAAAGCGGTACGTAGTTACGTTTCGGATCAAATAAGCAAAAAGTCCCGATAAAGTAAACATTTTTAGAACACATCAACTTTCTATCACCATCACATGTAAAGACTTCAGTCTTAAATAGCGAACTTAACGTTAGTTAGCTAACAACAAACCGGCCACTTAAAGTTCTCAACAGTCGGCGGATTTAAGCTCCGACAGAAATCACTTTAATAACGAATGAATAAGACGCTGACATGTAACTTCAACTGTTTTATATTGAAATAACGATATGATTAACAGCGTGTTGCGCAGCGTTTTAGAGAACTATCACATCTCAATACTCAACCGAACTGATCAAACTAACGTTAACGTACCCTCAACTATTCTCAAGAGCCATCACGCTAGCTAGCAACTTAACTTACCTCCGGCTAATGCTCAAAGTTGCTTTCTTCCAAATATGTATTTAGTTCCTGTTAGAGATATGTTGAACTAAATAGTATGATTGCGATTCTGAGGATAAAATAACAACACTATACAAACTATTTTCTGGCACGTTACACTTCTGACAACGGGACTCTTCCGACTGTTGTGTAAAAACTCTCAGCTCGTGGTTTGTTTCATGCCTGCTTCTGATTGGCCGATTTGTAATGATGCCCTCATTTTGCAAGCCGTCGGTTGGTTGTTTGGATGCGTTTGTTTCAAGCGATCCTCCTTTATCAACCCCGGACACTAGAAGGCGCTGAAAATACTGCTCGACACCTCTAAAATATTAATTATTCACCGTAGCGATTAAACGTTTCGTTGCATAGTTTCTTTTCGAACGGTTCGAATCAGTCGTGATTCTTTTACGTCATGGCGTAATTTACGTCATGACGTGGTACCGTACATTCCTTCCATAACGTGGCACAGGGGTTATTAGAGCAAGTTATTCTAAATTCAGCATTTGTCCAGTTGCGTGTTTTTTAATAATAATGTTTACTGTAATTCCATGTTTCACAGTTCAGTTAGAAGCATTCGTGATTCAGCTCTTAAAACAGTCATTTAGAAAATAATTGCATTACATTGAACAATACTAATTTATACAATACTAACAATACTCTGTGTGTGTGTGGTCGCGCGTTTTTGTGACAAAGGTATGACATAGGTATTACAAGGAGAAGGTGACTTTTCAGGACATTACCCCATGTCCCCACTTTTCAAAACGCTTATAAATCACACAGAATGGAGTGTATTTAAAATCTGAAATAGCACAAAGTCTCCTGTGAGGGGTAGGTTTAGGGGTAGGGTTGGTGTAGGGCAATAAAATATACGGTCTGTACAGTATAAAAACCATTACGCCTATGGGATGTCCCCACTTTTCACAAAAACAAACCTGTGTGTGTGTGTGTGTATGTTTGGAGGACCAACCCTGCAGAAGGAATGAACGAACGAATGTAAAAAGAATAAAAATAAATACAGAAAATAATAAATAAAATAAAAAAGTAACAATTCAATTTTAAAAGAATAGTATTGGTTTTATCAAGTAAATTATTCATTTATTTTCCAGTCATTACACTACATTGATTGATTGATTGTAGGTTTAGTCCTACATGTGTGTTTAATGTGTTATAATTATAACGTTATCCTTCGAAACAATTTTTCTCATGTGTGTTGACAAAACTGTCATACAATCATGAGCATTTTTAGTAACTTAATTTTTGATACGTTTTATTTATGAACTTGCTTGCTGTTCGGATTGCAGGAGCCCCAAATTCTCGGTTGCTCTTATACTGCGGTTCTCGGTTCAATGAGTCGAATGCAGACCGATTCAGTTCAATTCGTAAACGAATCGTTTTGTGCATGACATGTAACTAGATCAAATGAGGAGACCCAAAAACCGATTCGTTCATGAATCAGGCGTACTTATTACTACTGCTGCTTCCTAAAATAAAGCGAGAACATAAAGAACATTAACATCTTTTCTGGGGAAATATATAAAGCAGCTACTCTTAGGTGCAAAGTGCCCCAATGAACACACTCATCAGTACGTTATAACAATATTAACAATAATTGACAAATAACCGAATTCATTAAATCATAATCAATAAATAATGATGTACTGGTAGACAAACACAGTGCTTCATATTTTCCCTCTAAATGTTTTTTTTTCCCCACAGAGCTGACCTACATATTTGTGCTTTTTCAGTATTCTGCAGGTCTCATATGCAGCGATTCAGTTTGGGCTGAATTAATTCTGACCTCTGATGACCTCAGCGGTGAGCATTTAAAGCCATTTTAATTTGTAGGGATTTTTACCGGGAACAAAACAACAAAAAACACTTACAACAGGAGACACATTTATAGACTGTACACAAAAATATATAACATCTCTCATTTCACAGGAAAAAAGAAACATTATATAAATAAATCAAACATTCAACTCAGAGTTCCTATGAAATGGTAACACAGGACTGCGTATGAATTCCTTGCTCAGGTAGCAGAGGTCTGCCATGGCTCATTTGGGTCATTGCTGTATGGACCATCTTCTGCTTGATGACAGGCACCCAGACAAGTCCAGTGACCAGGAACATCAGCCCCACAGACAAGAATATAGGTCCTACTAAATAGGGCACATTGCCCACCTGGGTGAAGTACAACAAGGACAGTGCAGTGCCCGTGCCAAAGAGAAGACCCCCAATGAAGATGGCCAGGGCTGGCTTTTTAAAGTGACTCCAGCCACATTTCACTCTTTTGTGGGATGCCTTTCCAGGACATGAACCAGCTTCATCAGTCTCCGTTCGCACAGATATGCTGGAATGCATCTTGATCTACAGAAATGTAAGACCACCAATATAAACTCAGCCTTAGGATTCAAAACAGAGACACAGAAAACTAAAAAATATTGCTTTTATAGAAAAATCATTCATAGTCACTTAACTATACAAATCAAAAAATGAAGTACACTTACTTAGAAAGCTCAGAGCCCATCAATGGTTATACAGAAGCTCTTGTTCCACTTCTGCCTGCCAGTTACTGTATTTATCCACAAAATACAGTGGAGCGAAAGCCCCTCCCTGTGGGTGTGTCAGTATGAACATCTGGAGCTGGACCACACTGCCCTATTTGTGTCTCAGAGTAATTGCACCCACAAATACAAAAATTACATTGCAACCGGTTTAAGCAAAGGGCTAAAGATAGTTCATAAACCCATCTTTTACAGGACAAGGGATTTATACCATCTACAAACACTGAAAATATCATTGCAGTTTGCATACGCAATGCATTCAGTGATATAAGAATCAGTAATGCATAATGCTTAGGATTTCTGTCTTTGACTAAACATTAAAAAAAATAGAAATGGAGTCCAAGTCAAATAAGAAATATAGCAACAACACAGACCAAAGCATTTTTTTTTTTTACAAAGGGCTTACCAAGACATCTTTATAATCAACAAATTTCTATCAAAAAAAATTTTTATCAAATTTTTATGAAGAAACTCCATCATATAGCACAAAAGAATTCAACAATTACATTTTTCCCCAATTTAATATTTTATTGTCATAGAAGATGCTTTAATAACGTGAACACGCTCATGCACTTTGCAAGAACGTTATGTGAACAGAAACCAAAATGGGAATAAACAATGGGAGACATGTACAACCAAGATATTAACATTTTGGTTTCAATTGATTAATCATTCGAACTTTACTGCTCATAAATCACTTTATGTTAACAAGCAAATCTTGGTCCACATACATTTACTGTATCTGCTGCCATTATATTTCTCTGATGGTAGCAAAAAGAAAAATTCTAAAAATAAAAAAGTTTGGAAGAGAGCTAGATCTCTTGCCATTTAACATGTGCAGATGGATGAAGGACAGGTCATGGGGGAGAACCTAAAACAATGGCATCGCTGAGCTCTCAATATGAGAAAGCTGACACATGTGGACTTGATTTCATTTTCATTTGCTTAAAAACTGATTTCTTTAAGAGAAGTTTTTTAAGCTGGTCTTCGGGAGGCGGAGAGGAGAAAGGACAGGAGGGCTATGAAGTGTGCTGCGGCTGAAGCAGCATCTACCTCCGCCTCGGTCAGTCGTTTCAGAACCACCAATCATTCTTTTCAGTCCTTCTCTGCAACAAGTTTCAACACTTTCCCAATGGCAATGGTTTTCCCTAAAAGACAAGACATTGACAAAACACATCTAAAATAAAAAAAAATCCAAGTTAAAGACAAATTAGAGCTGCTTTTGCCAATAATGTCCCCTCACCTTCATCTCGTAAGGTGAAGCGTCCCATTTGAGGGAAATCTTTGAAGGTCTCAAGGCAGATGGTCCCAGCTGTTCTCAGGCGAGCAATGCACACCTGGTCCTGTTTGACGAAGCGGGGTCGTGTTTTGCTCTTGTCCCCCGTCTTTTTGTCTACCAGACAGATTAAGGCCTGTAAAGGGGCCAGAGGCACATTTAAACCACTTTGATACACAACTGTAAATGAGGACACTCACCCGAGCTAAAGTCTACAGGCTTATAGTCAGATTTACACCATAAGAAAATTTCTGCACAAACACTAAATATGTGTAGTAAAAAAAAAAAAAAAAACCTTTGCAGCCATTACCGTAATTTGCACTTCTTCAATGCAGGTGTGGATATGAAGAACTGCATTGTAACCTGGGCAGATGATTGACTTGTGTTCAATGATGACTATCTGAGATGGCAGAGACAAAAGCACAATTAATATGTAGTACTGCAAAACAAAAACAAGAAAACGGAGTAATCATATTGACAGAACTGAACTTGTATTGAAGCTGGATCATTCTTTTAATTACAGTGGAGTTCACTGACCTGGGCATCAAAGGTGCGACCAGTGTGGCAAAGGTTCTCAGCATTGCAGAGGATGAAGCCTGGCAAGATCTCCTCCTCTTCAATGCCTTTGAGTCGCAACTTCAAGTTCTCTCCCGGACCAGCATCATCGGTTTCAACATCGTCAGAAAGCAAACTCAGCAACTCTACAGTGTGCTGCACACAGATGAGACGGGCACAGATATGTCAGTCAATTCTTGCCACAAAACCTGATGTTTTAAAGGGTTACGTTACAATAATCTTACCCTGTTGGGCATCATCACAAGTTGCTGAGCTTTGCTGATTGATCCCGACTCCAATTTCCCCAATATCACAGTGCCCATGTCCTGCAAAATCACCAGAAGCATATTTTTTAAACAAAACCATGTGATGGGACATCAGATTTTCTAAATCAAACATCTAAAAAGGAAAGTCATGCATGACATATGATGAACTTCAAAGTATTCATACAGTTCAAGATAACGAGGGGTAAAAATTATATACTTTTTTTTTTTCTCCACCTCCTCTCCACTCTACATACCTTATATTTGTCTACTATGGGTAACCTGACTGGTCCATCACTTGATCTGCTGAAGTTTGGCAAACTGTCCAGATGTGGAATGAATGGTAACCCTCTGTCCATAATACACAATAGTGAGACACATTATTCATGTACTTTTTATGATATTTAAAGCAGTGGTTCTCAACCAGGGGGCCCCGGACAATCAGGACATCTCAGCCAAGTTCTAGGGGGGCCCCAGTAAGTACTATAAAGCCTATGGTAATAGAACTACATTTAAATATCACATAGGAGAAAACAATAATAAACTGACATCATATTTTTGAGCTTATAAATTCTTATTACAGAAGCAACAGAGGCATGTTTCAGCTTAGAAGGGATGGCTTGGTGTCAAAAAGGTTGAAAGCCAGTGATTTTTTTATACTTGTTAAAAAGCATTCAAACAAAAACTGAATAACCGCAAATCCACACTTACGTATACCAAGGGCAGTACTCCGCTGGCTCCTTTAGATTGGCCCCAGTAAGTCCCGAACATGGCATGAAATGAACATCTTTCCTGGGGTTGAACCCGACTTTCTTTAAAAACGGAACAAGTTTCTCCTTGCATTCTTCGTACCTGTGTGCAAACAGTATAAAAATATTAACACTCAATACCCTTTTTTTCATAAAACCAAATAAAACACAATAACAACAGTCTCTGTATATAAATGTCCATCTTCTGACCTCTCCAGACTCCAGTTCACTGTTGGATCATCCATTTTGTTTACAAGTACAATCAAATGCTTGACTCCAGCAGTTTTGGCCAACATGGCATGCTCCCGCGTCTGGCCTCCTTTCTCAAAGCCCGTTTCAAACTCTCCTTTCCTTGCAGAGATTACCTTCAGATAGAAATAATGAAAAATGAATTCAGAGACTGAAAAGAATGAACAGGCAGTAGTTTCTGGTCTGTGAGTGAAAGTCAAGCCTTTTGAGACAGACAAATAGCGCCCTCTACTGAGTCATTAACACATTCAACCTGCTCAGAGCTCATGCTACTCACTGTTCTTTTTGAGTGCCTACTCAAAGCTATAACTCACCAGCACTGCCAAATCAGCCTGTGAAGCTCCACCAATCATGTTGGGCACGAAGCTTTTGTGGCCTGGTGCATCCAGAATGGTAAAGTGCTTTTCCTCGGTCTCAAAGTATGCACGTCCGACTTCCACAGTCTTTCCTTTGTCTCTTTCCTCCTGGTTTGTGTCAAGGGCCCAAGAGAGGTACCTGAGAAAAACCATTAACTATGAAAAACTGCTCCACCTTAGGCAAAAAAAAAAAATATAAAAAAAAAAGTACTGAAGTGTTATGAGCTTAAGCTGTATTTGGAGGGAATCTGTTTGACTACCCACCAGATGTTCTGGTAAATAAACTTATTAACTAAGCTAATTACCAAGTTTCCCTGTTCTTCTCCTTGGCTTCTCTCTCATACTTCTCCAGAGTTCGTTTATCCACCATTCCTGTTAAATACCTGTGGAGGAGGGGCAGAATATAAGCTATCAGAAACGTGGGATGGAAAAACCAACAATATCTGCTAAAAAACACTGCAGCAAAATCAACAACTCACATGATTTGTCCTCCAATAGTTGACTTGCCAGCATCTGGAGGAAAATGAGATTAGAGAGAGAGACAGGGTGAGGCCAGGACAGATAAAGACGGTAAAATTCTGTTCTCTAAAGACATTTTAAAAGGTGTTCCCCATGATGCTCTTGATTACCCCATTACACTTTACAGTTAGTGCTATCATACAAATACACTTACTTGTAGGTTTAAAATTCTGCATATGTCACATTTATTGTCCAACTACAAATATTTCAGCAAAATGTATATTTTAGTCAGTTATTGCGCTCCTATTTCATTGAGCTCTGTCTGTTTGGCACGAATGCCTGCGGCGGCGCTCATTCTAAATGAAGTCTGTGGAGTTTAGCGGAGAATCGCAAAGCAAAAGTTCATGCACTTCTGACAGCAAAATGGAAATATTTCCATGGCTTTTTTAACATTTACAGAAGGAGAATATACCTGTGAAATGTAAGTTATGCATTAAGGAAAACAGCACATCTCAAACACATTAAACAGCGCGTCTCTGTCAGCCTCACACGCAGCCTTTCTGTCAGAGCATCTGACGGGGCGAGCGTGAGCCGCTTTGAACTGAAACTATAAACTACTAGGAGAGAAATAAAACGCAGAAATTATGTAAATGCAAAACCAAAATAAAAACGCTCTGATTGGTTGAACTCTTCTTTTTCGGTTGCTTGTTTTGAATACTGCGCGTCACTAGATTTTTGCGTAGTTTAGAGTGACAAATCGTACCAGCGTACTTTGAGGTCAAAATGCGTAGCCGCTACGCAAACTGCGTACAGGTTGGCAGGTCTGTAACGGATTAATATTAAAGTGTTTACATAACAAATCCAAGCAAATTAGAGCCAAGTACAAAAAATGAGATGAATGAAACTGTGACGTTACTGGAACTGCTTATTTTGAGAAACTGAAATGAAAGCTAAAGATAAAAAGTTAAAACACCAAACCTTTCAAGAAATGTCATGAAGATCTTGCCAAGATATATATTATAATTCAGCATAATGCCAACAACCTCGGCTATATATTAAGGAATCCAAAACAAGTGAATAATATAATCTCAATAAACTAAAATACATTTATTTATTTAAAGTACCTAAAACTAAATCTGGCCGGAACATTAAAAATATTTTCATGAGAATCAACCCAAAAGTAAACAGTCCTTGAGGAGTTTAAACAGGACACTGGCATCAAATATATCATGTAAATGCAGTATGCAAACACTAACCGACATGGCCAATGAAGACCACGTTAACATGTTCCTTCTTGGGGGCATTTGGCTGTGTGGGGACTACTTTAGGTGTTGGCACTACTTCTTCCTCCTCCTCCATTCCTTCCTCTTGAGGGGAGTCTTCATCAGCCTGACCCCGATCTCCTCCAGGGCTGCCTCCTGGCTCTGCCTCAGCTTTGCTAGGCTCACTCCCTTTCTGCTCCCAGGTGTCATCTGTTGCCATCTCTGCATCACCGTTCTCCATGGGCGGAGCTGATGTCAAAGGCAACATGATCATTTTACACTGTTTATCCAATCACTGTTGGTCTTGTGTCAATAAAAGTCGTTTCCTTTCTGACTAATACTGCTGTGTTTGGTGTCAACATAATTGTGCCTAAAGGCTATTTTGAACCACAACAAAAGGCACAATCAAGATGACATGAAAACAAAATTAAAAAAAATATAAAAGCAACAAACCACTAGAACATGTAACATTTTAACTACAAAGTTTAACAAACACAATCGCTCTTCTTTTATAATAATGAATCCTTGTGTCTATTAGTAAGGTGAAGGTCTGTTCTCACCAACATGAAAATGCAATATAATGCGTAAAATCTGGCAAACAGGCAGAATGAAAATGCAAATTTACTCTGACAGTTGGTGGCGCTGGAGTAGAAACTCGGCTCGGTACGGCACGGCTTATTATTCAGTAAGGAAGCACAGTTATGAAATGAGCACCTTATGCCCCAAAAAACATGGATGGATGTGTTCTAGCTGTAGTGAATTTACTTCTCATGAATAATTCACACAATATTCATATGCTAAATTAAACTACATTTCCATTTTTTGTATATGCTAAAACAATTAACATTGGTGTTAACAACAAATAAAGATCTTCATTTCAGTACATTATATTTAGCCTTCATACACATCCAAAAATGTAACGATTACTCAAAAGAGACATCTCTGAAACATTATTCACAGTGAGAACAGTATATGATAATCTTTTCACTATTGGTAAAGCCAAAAGTGCTGGATGGATATCGGTTTGATTTAATAAACTTATTTGAGACTTATAGCAAATGTTACTCATCTCTAAATAGCCTAACGTCCTCCAAGAGAATTATTTATAGAATAAATAAATATTCTGCTGTTCTGATTAAAGTGTGACATTCTGTACATAAAAGTGCAATAAGGCTATCGTTTGATTAGAAACAGCTGCATGAGTCTTCAAGCATCAACCTTCTTTCTCACACGTCTGCCTGTGGAGAGTACATAAAGCAAGACCAGCTTTTGGCAAACAAGACATTTTGACATTAATGTACATGACGGTAAGGCCACAATAGCCCTTTCGTTGTGTAAATAATGTGTGGAAATGGATCAGAAAAACCTGTCAGACAGGCTTATAGATGACAAAGATAAGCGTCCAAAACCAAAACGTAATGGCTGTGTCACCCACTATGGAAGGATATACTGGCAGTGCACATAAAGAACTGTGAGGAGACCCTGTAATATATGATTAACCAAACCTTAAAAATGTGCAACTGATTACGAGAAGAAAAAGGGACGTATATTCAGACATTATTTCCATGAAATTCCAGTGTTTTGTTATTTGCATTTGAAGTTGCTTCTTTTCCTTAATTGCAAGAGTGGTTTGCTCAAGGCATCAAGGTCACGGATGCATATTCCTCCGTGAGACAAAGCCAACCTCTGGGACATTCCTTTAGGAGTGGTCTTATCTAAGGGCGTCTACACTCTCTGTCTCTTGTCCCTCTGGTACACGCTGGTCTGATGAAGCCGTTTCCGCCACTATGTGGACATGACGTTCCTGAGGGACCTCTGCCTCCTCCGCATCACTGGCCTGCACGGGTGCCGTTTCCCTGAACGATTCTTCGAGCTGGCTGACAGAGCTGGTATCACTGACAGAGTCTGAGCCCGCTCCCTGCCGCCGGAAGAGTTTTTGGCCTGTGAATCACATGGTTTGATTAACCTGAGAGTTCTGTAAACATCAGTGTAAGACCAAATGTGATTTAATTATGTTGTGGACACAAAGTAATTAGGGTCACACTGATCTTAGATCAAGATGTTACCGTTACCTGGAAACCGTTTGGTGATGGACTTGGGGGAATCGAGGGAAGCTTCTTTATTCATCTGGGCTTTTATAGAATAAACGGGCTCGGTGCTGTCCAGGCAACCTATGGAGGTAAAATAGATGCTATAAAAACCTGAAAGCTACAATTAAACTGATATTTATTTGACATTTTTGTGCATTACAAACTTTAAAGCATCTATACCTTCAGCTAGGTTGAATGTTTTTCCTTTGACAGAGGCCTGAACTGGGGAGAACCAGTTAAGCACAGAGCCCACCAGAGGGATCTGTCGAAGTACACCCTGAAAAGTAAAAATTTTTTATGGTTTCATCAGAAAATTATTACAATTATATAACCAGCATTGTTGAAATGGAAAATTGATTTCTGAATGTTTTAGTATTTGGTTTGTCTTGATCAGGATCCCACATGAGTCACATGCAAAATATCACATATTAAAATATTTGACCTATAAATCAAGTGAAAGAAAAAAAACTAACCAAACCAAAATTCCCTTGATCTTTTGACATTTAAGAGGTCATTGTACTATAAAAACATCCTGTAAGTTTCAGAACTCAAATCTTTCTCGTTAGTCTAAAAATGAGCAGATTGAAGCCAATCTGCCAAAATGACCAAAAGTCATCATCAACGCCTGCTTGTACATCGCTGCCCGTTCAGCCCCGCCCACCGATTTGCACATGTAGTGTGAATAACGAGAGGTGAACACAGGTCTACGCAGAAACCAAACGATAAAGATGCTTTGAAGACAACAAGACACTTTGCAGTGCCACACTGTGGAAAAACAGTCATTGCATTGCCTTCCTTCTGATCCCAACATTAGGAAAGAGTGAATTAACTTTATTTTTAATGAAGATCCAGACTGCGTCAGTAAGAACTTGGTCCTTTGTTCACTTCATTTTACTGCGGATCACAGCATTGGGCGTTTACGTCCGAGTCTACAATCCACCACGGCTATTCAGATAGAGAGTTCTGATGAGGGGTTTTTTTTTTTTTACAAGAAAAATCTTGATAACATAAGTGTACCTCAGAGTACAAAATAAAAAACAACGGCAGTTCATGACCCCTTTAAATATTTCTCGACCACTTTATGCCATAAAGTTTATTTGGTTAATTTTACAGGTTTGAATGAGATCTTGTGACCTCAGACTTTTGGAGCCCGCTGTCCACCTAGACATATTCACTCACCTCCTCCATAAGTTTCTCTTCATTTGCTTTCTGAAGCTGCTGCTCAGCTTCCTGTATGCCTCTTCTCACAACCTCCGTCATGTTCTCAAACAACTAGCCGCAAAAATACACAGATGCATTATATCTTCTTATGTTTCTGATTTTCATTTTCTGCTTCAATTATTAAACACCTGTCCAAAGCAAAAGTCAGTGCAAACCTTTCCACTTTCCTCAATGTCTCTTCCAATAGATACTACAGTTTCCACCAACTCTGCCACATCCAGGTCTTCTGTTGCCATACCAATAAATATGCAGTTTTTCTCCTCACAAAACTCAGGACCTGCACACAAGACAGGGTCACTGAGTTCATGTGAATTACACCAATTCTACAACTGTCAATCATAAGACCATCAGGAATTTACCATCAGAAAAGTACAGGTCAGTATCCAGCTCCATCAGCTTCTTAAGCAAGTCACTGTTGATCTTCTCCACACTGTGATGTCTCTTGTCTTCATCCAGGTCTGTGGTTCTGGCCTCATACCTTTTGAAAAACAAACAACAAACAAAAATAACCTGTTTAACACTGTGGAAACTTGCAACAATGCGAGTTTCCTTCTTCTCCGAGTGAGGAATAGAGGATATCAGGGTCACTGTATCCTTTTATCTCAGCTAGCAGAATAGGTCACATTTTCGATATCCAAAGAACACAAAACTGACGTGTGTATACCTCAAATGCACTTTGGATAAAAGCATCCATCAAATGCATGAATGTAATGTAAAATTTGCTGTAAACTGATGCAGGTTTGACTCCAGAGTCTCACCTCACACCTCCAAGACCAGGCCAGCTCTGGTCCTCAATGTACGAGAGTGAAGCTTGTTGTAGAACCTCATCCTTGAAGTCCTGTCTGAAGCGTAGGGTGCAGCTCAGCACTGGGATCATCTCTCCCAGCTTCTCCACAAGTGCAGCCACGTCATTCTCCTGAGTGCCAAGAGCTACACACATATACAGCATTGTTAGCATTAACATGTTAACATGAATTGGGTGTCACCACTGCAATACAACTGACAATTCATAAAATCAATGATACTTTTATATCTTTGCGCACTAAGGAACTAAGGACAGAGAATAGTCCACTCAAGCCCCTATTTTTGCAGAAATGTTTTTATCAATCCTCTCTCTCACTCTCTATTTATTTATATATTTATTCAGAAATCTATCTAGCCAATTTCTTCTGATTTATTCCTTGCACCTATTTAATATAGGCTTATTAAAATGTCTAGAGCTTGCACATAACCCAGGATTTCTTAAATTTATAATTAGCTCCATCATGTATGCCTCCAGTTCTTAAGTCAGTATGGCTTGGGCCTGAACATTGTGTTAGCATTCCTGATTTTAAATGTCTCCCAAATGTCTTACCTGCAGCGGTCATGAGGGGGCTGAAGCGAACACATGTGCCCTCATCTTCCAGCTCAACCACATCCACACCACTTAGCGGAACCTGCTGCGCCAACTGCTCACCCAACTGTCAAATCAGATCAAAGCAGTCGGGTGACTCATTTGTAAGAAAATGATCTCGGCACTCTATTATAAATGCTCACAATTCAGCCTACTTATTTCTCCTAATACATTGTGAGTAAGAGAAGCATTTACCCATCTGTTAAGGGCATCAAGGATATCTCTTTCCCCTTCAAGATAGCCTTCTACTGAGCCACCACTTGAGGCTGAAAATGAAAGTTTTGTGGATTTTAGTCAATATCTCTTAGTATATACACATGCATAATATTTTTGTAGAAACCCTTTTATAGAAGGTTAAAAAAAGAACAGCATTCATTCAAAATCTTTTGTAACAAATGTCTTTACTGCCACATTAAAGCTGCAGCCTGTAAGTTTTGCCTCTTTGTCGCCATCTCTGTTTGAAACCTGCAATTGCAAGTATTTGCGGAGTTATTTTCTTAAAGGGGTCATATGATGCGATTTCAATTTTTCCTTTCTCTTTGGAGTGTTACAAGCTCTTGGTGCATAAAGAAGATCTGTAAAGTC